TTTGATTGGCTCAGTAATCAAACGTAATCGAACTGGAACTTTTCAGTGAGTTTGATTACCAAACTCAAACAAACTAATCAAACTCAATCAACGCAATAAGTTCGATTTTGTTCTGCACAAGGGCAAAATGCTTCCAGTTTTAATTGAGTCAGAAAGATCTCCCTCGAGGATGTATGTGAAGCAGTTTGATGACAAAAATATTTCAGTTAACGCAGAATTAGCTAATCAAAAATCTTATCGTTACAGTGATTGAAAATCAATTAAGTCACATTTTGTCCAAACGTTTCGGGGGACAGAGCATTTGGAAATGTGGTTGATAAAAAACACATAGCCTACCCCCTGCCTTCAGCAGAAAAATGACTGACCCACCCCTGAAGCAAGGTTGCAAAATATGACCCACCCCCTAGTGTTAAAACTTGGATTTTTGGTTTCCTCTTAATAACCCAATAAAACTTGTTCTGTGCATGACAAAGTCATAAATCTCTAGCCTCTTGCCTCGCTTCATAAGGAGTATAATAACGTTAGCAACTGTGTTTGGTGAGAATGCTTAATGGTAAATCGCTATCACTGTCATTCCAACTATTGAATGCTAGTTTTTTGAGGGGTATGTTCTTATTATCATTATTTTCTAAACTGCGTACTGAAAATAACTTATTTCTGCTTTCAAGTATCATTCATAAAACACATTAATGCTACAATAACAATGAATTCATTGTATAGAAGGAATAGGTACAGCATTGCCCATATTGTCGACCTGAGAAACAGCTAAAGATAAAGAATGGGCAAAGTGAGAAACAAAAAAGAAAAAATACTTAACTTCTGTCCAGAGTAGCAAACCGGGCAGTTTTCTTCTTCTTCAAAGCTCTCTCCTCAGCAGCACAGATCTTCTTTTCGTCTTTGGATTCCAAAGCAACCTCGTCAGAGAAGTACTCGTCAACAGCAGCCCGACCAACTTCAGATTTGTCGGTAATCCTAATGGGTTTATTTTGCTGCGTAATCGCCTTTGAGGCAGTATTAAGAGAACCGTCAAGTTTAAGAATTAATGCTCAGACTTCTTGGTTATCCGAGCCGTCAAGATCAATAGTGGATTTCCATGCCTGCACGAAAGCAAGACTCTGCGATATGCACAAGCCAAGGTTAAAAAGAGCTTCCACAACTTCACTTTGCCTGATCTTTGTATGAAGCATCATAAATAGACTGTTGGAGCTGCTTCTCGTTGTTGGCTGCATCGGACAATATCTATTATTTTCCTTGTACCGCTTCACGCTGTTATACAGTGTTATATAAAGTAAGAGCATTGGAGGAACGTGATTTGATATTTGGTCCATTAAGCACCATAGTAACCAGTGCTAGCAGTGAATTGGGCACAGACTGTTCAGTGTTGCAGCCAGAAAATTGTGCTTGAGGGCCAAAGTGCCCCTACAATCCATTTTTGGGGGCCAGATATTTCAAGAAAGGGCCAATGTACCAGTATCTCTCTAATATGCAAAAGAGAAGAAGCAGTTGGAAAGTTAAGGAAATCAAAATGTCAGTTTATTTGAAGCTGACATGGAGCGTCCCTTTGTATACACAATAGAGGAAATCTTCGGTAATAAAGCAAACAGTACAATCAGAATGTATGCAATAAAAATATCAAGTAATTTTTTTCATGTCAATTTCCACTTCACCGTCAAGATCTGTTTTCATTCGCTTGTTCTGAACTGCTTCGTCTCCATCCACTTTTTCGTTACTTCTGAGAAAAAACTTTTGTCAGGTTTATCCTTTTCGAGACGCCATGATGGACACCCATGAGCTTCTGCGATATTACAAAAGCCAAGTCGAGGCTTAGTGGTCTGCAGACCACTCACGATAAATCAGGTGAACTCAAGATTCATCGATTCATTTTCATGTTCTGTACAAAGGTACGGAGTCATTGTTCTTTAGATTAAAAATTGTTTAATTGGAAAATTATTGTTGTTGAAGTTACAGAGACCATTTTAAGCCCAGGCAATTAAAAAAGGAAAGGGCCATAATGGTGGGAACTTGCGCATCTTCGCATTTTCTATGAGTTGTTTCCCCAATAAGGCATGTATCCTATCAAAATGTGTTGTAGCGAAAAGCGATACTCAAGTGAACGGAAGTGTTGGGAGGACGAAAACGAGACAAAGCTGGAAGTCTGGATACGAGACTCCAGATGAGACGGCCATTTTAAATCGTTTTTACTCCGTTCCTAGCTTCAGGAGATTGTAGCGCTAGCTAACTCAAAGAAAAACAGAAACATTAAAGCTTATAACGTTAACTTTATCTCAATGGCCAGGAATACTGACTTGTGTTTCAAAACAACGTGCGTAAGTATGTTTTTGCGCTTGAGATAACTGCGCAAAGGATTCAAAGGCCTCGTTGCAACCGAGCTTTGAACATTCAAACAGTGGTGTACTACTCTCAGTACTCTTGCTAGCGTCTGAACTGGGTTTTACCTCTCGTTTTCCAAGTGGTACATAGAATTCTTGGGATTCCACTG